ATCAACTGGTGTTTGATTCCATCCTGTAATACGATATTTTTTTGGCTTGGTCTGAAGGCGTATGAGTGATGTCGTGTATCATACGCCAAACATCACCAACGATTTTTTTCGAATTCGAAGCTGATTTCAGAATCGATACGCTCATTTCTTCCATTTTACCTCCTCATTTTACCCCTTTATGCCTCCAATATGGTAATGCATCCAGATCTGGCATCCCTCCCTCCATCCATTGAATGTCTGTGTCCCTAATGGCCCGCCGTGAAGATCAAGTGGTGGGATTGATGTCGAGTTGCTAAAAATAGTGGCAAAGGAAGCATCAAACTAATGGTTTGATTTTTGGTACGGAAAAGAAGTTTTACTTCAATAATTTTCTATAACATAAGGGGGGTTCACATGACGAGATTTTGGAAAATTTTCAGAAATAAAAAATACAAAAAAAAATATATTTTTTTTTTTTTGAAAAATTTATTTTATTTTCCTTTACTCCATCGTGTTTTCCTTGTCAGCCTTACCCTCTGAACCCCCCTTTTGCGCTTAATGTTTATGCAATGCCTGTGGCGGTGATGGCTCTTCATGGGGCTCGATGCCAGTGTTGCAGTTTACTTCAGTTGCTGCTCCTTTTAAATATTTTTTTCTTTCTTTCGAATTTGGTTTGGTTTCATTTCCTCCCACCAACCATCCTCTAAGGATATGATGATGGAGAGGAGCATGAACAGAAAAGTGCTCAGGTACTTAGAAATGCATTTACGTTACTTGTTGACGTTATGTCAAAATGTGTCACGCTGGCATATTTGGGATTTGAAGAACTATTTTTTTCTTCATCATTTACCTGAAGTCTCTTTTCCAACATCTTGAGATATTTTCTCCAACCACTTCCTTTCTAGGCCGGCCGGGGATTTTTTCGTTGACTTCCTCTTTTTTACTTTTGGCAGGAAAAGAAAAGAAATAATAAAATGCCAACATTGACAAGATTAAGTAAACCATGCACATTGGATTTTATCCTCCTCCTCCTCCACCATCCACCACCTCTTCCCCCGATATATAAAAATGTCATGTCACTTAATGCCAAATTGCTTTTCAGTAAATGCCTACCAGCAGCAGCAGCGGCCATAGCGATGGCGTAGAAGTCATGATAAGCCAAGAGAAAAAAGGTCATTAGTTGTGTGTGGCCCTCTTTGTTGTGACAGATGGCTCAACGAAGTAAGGCCGGGCAAATCTTTAATTGACGTTGGAAAATCTAGGCAGAAACCAGCGGATTTTCCAATTTAACAAACGGTTGCCACCTGGGCGTATGTGGTGGATAGTTAATCATACGCCGGCCAGGAGTTAGGGCTAATTAATTCGACTTCGGATTATTGTAACTAATTCCTTGAGTATACACTTTAAATGCCATAATTCTAACGAAAAAGGCAATGAATAACGAAATTGTTGAAAGAAAACAAATTGTATAACACTTTCATTTGAACAAAATTTGCCTGTATAACACTTACCCATTGAAGAATGAAATGTTTTCTTGTGTACAATGTTAAGTATAACACTTTCTATTGGAAACATTGACAGTATAACACTTATTCTCAAAGAAAATAGCCAGTATAACACTTTTTCTTAAAAAATCAAGTTGTATAACACTTTCATTTCGACAAAATTGGCCAGTGTAACACTTTTTCTTAAAAAATCAAATTGTATAACACTTTTATTTGAAGAAAATTTTCCTGTATAACACTTATCCACTGAAGAATGAAATGTTTTCTTGTATAAAATGTAAAATATAACACTTCCTAACGGAAAAGTTGAACAGTATAACACTTATTCTCAAAGAAAATAGACAGTAGAACACTTTTTCTTAAAAAATGAAATTGTATAACACTTTCATTTCGACAAAATTGGCCTGTATAACACTTCTCCATTGAAGCATGAAATATTTTCTTGAATACAATTTAAAGTATAGCACTTTCTATTGGAAACATTGTACAGTATAACACTTTTTGTCAGAGAAAATGGCCAGTATACCACTTTTTCTTAAAAAAATCAAGTTGTATAACACTTTCGTTTGGACAAAATTGGCCTGTATAGCACTTTTTCTCAAAGAAAATAGTCAGTATAACAATTTTTCTTAAAAAATCTAACTGTATAACACTTTTCTTTCGACAAAATTGGCCTGTATAAGAGTTATCCATTGAAGAATTGAATGTTTTCTTGTTCACAGTATTAAGTATAACACTTTCTTTTGGATCAGTTGCACAGTATAACACTTATTCTCAGAGAAAAATAGGCCGTATTACACTTTTTCTTAAAAAAATCAAGTTGTATAACACTTCCTTTTGGAAAAAATTGGCCTGTATAACACTTATTCTCAAAGAAAATAGGAAGTATAACACTTTTTTCATAAAAATCAAATTGTATAACACTTTAATTTCAAAAAAATTGATCTGTATAACAGTTATCCATTGAAGAATTGAACGTTTTCTTGTTCACAGTATAAAGTATAACACTTTCTATTGGATCAGTTGCGTAGTATAACACTTATTCTCAGAGAAAAATAGGTAGTATAACATTTTTTCTTAAAAATCAAATTGCATAACACTTTTATTTTGACAAAATTGGTCTGTATAACAGTTATCCATTGAAGGATGGAATGTTTTCTTGTATGAAATGTAAAATATAACCCTTCCAATCGGAAAAGTTGCGTAGTATAACAGTTTTTCTCAGAGCAAATAGACAGTATAACACTTTTTCGTGGATAAAATGCAATTTATAACACTTCTACTTAAAATTAATATAAGTATAACACTTTTTATTAGGAAAAAACGAAGTGTATAACACTTTCTTTTCGAAAATAAAGACTGTATTGCACTTTTTCTTGGATAAAATGCAATTTATAACACTTTTTCTCAAAATTAATATAAGTATAACATTTTACATTAGGAAAAAACAAAGTGTATAACAATTTCTACTCGAAAAATTTGCCTGTATAACACTTATATAACACTTTTTCTTGGATAAAATGGAATTTATTAAACTTTTTCTCAAAATTAATGCAAGTATAACAGTTTTCTTTAGGAAAAATCAAAGTGTATAACACTTTCAACTCAAATTTTTTGGCTGTATAACACTTATATAACACTTTTCCTTAGATAAAATTCAATTTTCAACACTTCTCCTTAAAATTAATTTGAGTATAACAATTTATATTAGGAAAAAATAAAGTGTATAACACTTTCTACTCGAAAATATTACCTGTATAACACTAATATAACACTTTTTCTTGGAAAAATGCAATTTATAAACTTTTTTCTTAGAATTAATATAAGTATAACACTTTACAATAGGAAATAAATAAAGTGTATAACACTTTCTACTTAAAAAAATGGCTTGTATAACACTTATATAACACTTTTTCTTGGATAAAATGCAATTTATAACATTTGTTTGTTTAAATTAATACAAGTATAACACTTTACATTAGGAAAAAACAAAGTGTATAACACTTTCTACTCGAAAATATGGCCTGTATAACACTTTTTCTCAAATAAAATGCAATTTTTAATACTTTTTCTTAAAAATGATGTAAGTATAACACTTTACTTTAGAAAAAAACGAAGTGTGTAACACTTTATACTCGAAAATATGGCCTGTATAACACTTATATACCACTTTTTTTGGATAAAATGCAATTTATAACACTTTTTCTTAAAATTAATATAAGTATAACACTTTACATTTGGAAAAAACAAAGTGTATATCACTTTCTACTTGAAAATATGGGCTATATAACAGTTATCCTTCAAGAAAATGTAAAGTATAACACTTTTTTCTGATAATTTGCGAAGCTTAACACTTAGTCTTAGCTGCAATATAAATTATAACTCTTTCTTATAGTAAAAACATCATGTATAACACTCTCTATCCAATAAAATGCATTGTATAACACCTTTTCTTGAAGAAAAATTTCTATGTATAACAATACAAAGTTTTTGTATAACAATTACCATTAGAAAATATGGTGTATAACAGTTTGTATAAAATGCAATTTAAAACTGAAACTCAGTATAACAGTTTTTTTCAATTATTATTTGAGAAAATATCAAGTATAACAGTTTTTTTTTTTCAAAATGTCATTTAGAGAAGAATCTCGGCAAACAGTTTTTCTTTGAGAGAATATGCAATATGGCAATTTTCTTTAGAGAAATTCACTGTATAACACATTTTATAAAAAAAAAAATTGGATGTATAACACTTTTACACATCACATATTTTTTATGAAACAATAAGTATAACACTTTTTCTGGGCAGAAATTAAATACATTGCACTTTTTCTTGGAGGCAATGTAGTGTATAACACTTTTATGTCTGTAAAATTTTCCAATGATTCCTAGGTGCTTGCCAAAGCAGGAAAGAGAGGTGGTTCTCAATTTTATGGAGGCCTAGCCAAGAATATTAATTTCTTCATTTCTATTTGTATAATTAATAAACAATGGCAATTAAATGTAATTATTTGCTTTGCAGAGAATGTGAGAGAGACATAGAGAGAGAGAGGGAGTGAGAGTGGGAAAAGGGAAACAGTGAAGCAAACGAATTGCTAAACAATGCCTTGAATATTAAAACTGCGAGTACTGAGAATTCAAATATTCAAATATTGATAGATGTTAGCACATGGAGCAGACACAGGTGTTGTCTGCAGTTGGGGGGTGGGAAATGAGTAGAGAAATGGGAAAACATAACGAAAACCGGGAAAATCCCCTAATAATTTTTTACAAATTTTCTCTGGTCTATCATCAAAGAAATTGGTAGAGTTTTTTTATTAAATTAATTAAAATATTTTTTCTATAAAAAATTAATTACTTTACACCAAACTTAATTATTATTCATCATTCTAATATCTGTATACATTTTTTTCTGTCTCTTTACAGGTAATATTATTTGCTTGTGAATATTCAATAATTAATGTAATTATATTCAATTAAAAAAAACAAACAAACACACACACGCTCGTATAACAGAAAATGGGAATGGTTATTGCATGCAGCTGTCAATAGGTGAGTGGAGCAGTGGTTTCAAAGCAATTTCGCAATTATTTTTCATTGGAAAAATTAATTTCTAGGTGTATAACAGTTTTAAAAATCTGGTATAACACGTTTTTTTTTGGAAGAAAATATATTTTACAAAAAATTTAATTGCGATAAAATATGAACTATACACATCTTCTACGGAAATGGTTTTGTATAACATGTTTTTATGAAAATTGTGGCGTATAACACTTTTTTCTGTACAAAATGTACCGTATGACTCGTTTACAGACAAATATGTTAATTAAAACATATAAAATTTGTTATATTACAGAAAGCTCGTTGTATAACACATTTTTCACAATACGTATAACACTTTTTCCTTAGTGAATAAATTGAGTATAACACTTTTCTTAAAGAAAATTCCAAGGAGGACAGTATTTCTTGATAAAAATACCATGTATAACAGTTTTACCTAGAGAAAATTTTGTGTATAATATACTTTTTCAGTAAAGTATAACAGTTTTTCCCAAAAAAATGTCATTCATAATACTTTTATCAATGAAATATGCCACTTATACCTTAAGAAAATGCAAGGTATAACACGTTTTTTTGCTAAAAATACCATGTATAACAGTTTTGTCTCAAGAGAATATCGTGTATAACCCATTTTTCAATAAAATATAACACTTTTCCTTAAGAAATTTCAAATCATTGCACTTTTTTCTGATGAATTTACCACATATAACAGTTCCTCCTAGCAGAAATTTAGTGTATAACACTTTAGTCAGAGAAAATTAGGCTTATAACAGTTTTCTTAGATAATCATATTGCACTTTTCTCCAGATGAAAATCAATGGGGAAAACTTTTTCTTTAATAAAATGCAAAGTATAACACTTTTCCTAAATTAATATATCATGTATAACACTTTCAAAGAGAAATTCTGATCTCTCTTAATAGAAACAGATATGTAGTATGACAAAATTTAATAAAGAAATGACATTGTATAACAGTCTTTTTGAAATTTTATGCGATGTATAACACTTTTTTTCTTATAAATTTCTGAAGTATAACACTTTTTCCACATGGAAATGCAGTGTATAATACTATTTTGTGATGAAAAATAAAATATATAAAAGTTTTCGTCAGAGAAAATATTATATATAACAATTTTGTCAGCGAGAAGGCAATGTATAACAGTTTTCTTACATAAAAATCAATGTATAACACTTTATATTGCAATACTTATAATTTATAACACACTTTCCTAGGCGAAAAAAACACTTTTTGTTGGAGCAAATATCGTGTATAACACTTTTTGGTGGAGAAAATACCATGTATAACAGTTTTTGTTGCTAATATTGCAATTTTTAACACTCTTCTCTAGGTGAATAGGCAATGTATAACACTTTATTGTAGAGAAAATATCATGTATAACACTTTTTGTTGGAGGAAATACAATGTATAACAGTTTTCTTGTTAATATTGTAATTTAAAATACACATCTCCAGGTGCATAGGCAATGCGTAACACTTTTTCTTAGAGAAAATCATTTGTATAACACGTTTTGTTCAATAAAATGCAATGTATAACAGTTTTCTCCGGTAAAATACACATTTTTCTTACTGGAAATTTTATGTTTAACCATTGTTCTTTAAGTAAATGCAAGTATGACACTATTTCTCAATGCGAAAATTCAATGTATAACAGTTTTCTCAAATACAATTCCACGTATAACACTTTTGTTTTAGGAATTGTAACTTTTAACGACTTTCATTAAGAGAAAAGGCAATGTATTACACTTTTTTTCTCAGGGAAAATTCTATGTATAACACTTTTCGTTGAAAAATTGGGCATGTATAACAGTTTTTTGATGGAACAAGGTTTAAATTATTTTCTTTTTAGAAATTATATACATTCCACTCGGCGAAATTCCAAAAAAAATTAATGTATAACACTTTTTATACACAGTGTATAACAGTTTTCTTTGCTACAATGCAATATTTAAAAATTTTTTGCTTCAGAAATGATGAATATAACACATTTCTCTTTGTAAAAATGCAGTGTTTAACACTTTTCCTAAATGAAAATACATTAAAAAATATTTAGTATAACAGTTTTACATACACGGGAAAAATAGAAATATTCCTATAGCATTTTATTCACAAATTTTTCTGTATAACAGTTTTCTTTAAATTTGTAGAAAATTTCCCTTCATCCTTTGCCTTTGCTTAAACATGCCCATGCATGTAAGCTGTCATGCTACACACATATAAGCTGGCATATTAGCGATATTAAATTAAAATATTTCATTATAACACATTGGATGACAAGATGACATGATGGATAATGACAGCGGTATATGCCATGACACCTGTACACAACTGCAACAACAATGAGTGATAACAGCAGAGGTGGTAGCGCACAGTCATTGTCAAGTTTAAACACCAGCCCCATAACACCAACAACCCTCCCCCCTTACCCCACCTCCTCCTCATCACCATGCTTTGCTTTGCTTTTGTTTATCAAAAGATTATTATGATGGGCCTTCACTTAATCTGTTATACTGCGACATAATGAAATTATTTCTGTACTTTTGTAGTTGTTTTTGTTGTTGTATTTATTAAAGGTATTAAGGCAGGGTGCAAAGGAATAAAGGCCTGTGAGTGTAAGGCAGTGATTCATAATAATTATATGTCACCGTGACATATTATTTGGAATTATAGTTGCCCATTTCTTGTTTGTGCTTCGTTAATTCTCATGAAGTGTTATACTGCCAGACATAGCCAACAAAAAAGTTCTTTGGCTTATAATTCTCAATAATCAAACGCTATAGGTTTTTGGACGTATAATTAATATCCCGTTAGGAGAGACAATAATCATACGCCCCTCACAGACATGTTAAGCCAAGGCTAAATTGAGGGAGACAGCTAGATTTTTGATTATTTTTGTTGTTGGTGTTGTTGTTGTTGTTGATATATAATATATCACAACATATAATGTTTAATTAACTTTTCGTCGGAACACGCGGAGAGGGTCATGTCTCACATTTCGAAGAATTATATGATTGATGTTACGACAACAAATGATGCGAGAACGAGGGAAATTTAATATTTCTTAGCATTATCTAATTTTTTTTCTCAGAAAAAAATGAATATGTATAACAGTTTTCACAGGGAAAACAATTAGTTTTGAAATCTTTTCTACGAGAAAATGACATGTATAACAGTTTTTTATGTAACACAATATCTTTTAAATATTTTTTCTAAATGGAAACACTTTGTATAACAGTTTTCTTTGAAAATCCTTTTTATAACACTTTTTTTCTGAGTAAAAATGATGGGTATAACACTTTTTCTTAAAAAAAATTATTTTATAATACATTTTCTGAGCGATTTACCACTGTATAACAGTTTTACTTAAAGAAAATACAATTTATAAAAGTTGTTTTGTAGAACACAATAAATGGAAATTCTTTGTATAACAGTTTTCTTTTCTTTTCTCAGCAGAAAATGTATAACAGTTTTCACAGGGAAAATATTATATGGTAACACTTTTGTAAGATAAAATGCTGGTGTATAACAGTTTTTTATAGAGCAAACATTTTTAAAAGGATTTATTTCTAAATGGAAATGCTTTGTATAACAGTTTTCTTTTCTTTTCACAGCAGAAGATGACAATGTATAACAGTTTTCCCAGGAGAGAAAATATTATTGTGCAAACAGTTTCTAAGAGAAAATGCAATGTATAACAGTTTTTAATGGAACACAATTATTTAAAAAAAACATTTTTTCTAAATGGGAATGCTTTGTATAACAGTTTTCTTTTTTTCACAGCAGAAGAGGACAATGTATAACAGTTTTCACAGAGGAAAAAATTATTGTGCAAACAGTTTCTAAGAGAAAATGCTGCTGTATAACAGATCACAATTTTTTTAAAAAGATTTTTTCTAAATGGAAATGCTTTGTATAACAGTTTTCTCTTCTTTTCACAAAAGAAAGTGACAATGTATAACAGTTTTCACAGGGAAAAAATTATTGTGCACACAGTTTCTAAGAGAAAATGACATGTATAACAGTTTTTAATAGAACACATTTTTTTCTAAATGGAAATATAACAGTATAACAGTTTTCTTTCCTTTTCACAGAAGAAAATGACAATGTATAACAGTTTTCACAGGGGATAAAATTATTGTGCAAACAGATTCTAAGAGAAAATGCCATGTATAACAGTTTTTTATAGAACACAATAACTTAAAAGCATTTTTTCTAAATGGAAATGCTTTGTATAACAGTTTTTTTCTTTTCACAGAAAAAAATTACAATGTATAACAGTTTTTACAGGGAAAAAAATATTGTTCGACCAGTTTCTAAGAGAAAATGCTGTTGTATAAAAGTTTTATATAGAACACCATTTTTTAAAACGATTTTTTCTAAATAAAAATGCTTTGTATAACAGTTTTCTTTTCTTTTCACAGCAGAAAATGACAATGTATAACAGTTTCCACAGGAAAAAAAATTATTGTGCATCCAGTTTCTAAGAGAAAAGGCCATGTATAACAGTTTTTTATAGAACACAAAAGCATTTTCCTCAATGGAAATGCTTTGTATAACAGTTTTCTTTGAAAAAATCCGTCTTATAACACATTTTTCTGAGTGTTATGAATGTGTATAACACTTTTTCTTAAAAAAAAGTTATTTTATAATACTTTTTCTAAGAGAATTTGCTCTGTATAACAGTTTTACTTAAAGAAAATACAATTTATAACAGTCTTTTATAGAACACAATCATTTAAAAGCATTTTTTCTCAATGGAAATGCTTTGTATAACAGTTTTCTTTTGAAAAAATCCTTTTTATAACACTTCTTCTAAGCGAAATTGATGTGTATAACACTTTTTCTTAAAAGAAATTAATTTTTAATACTTTTTTCTAAGCGATTTAACACTGTATAACAGTTTTACTTTAAGAAAATACAATTTCAAACAGTTTTTTTGGAACACAATTATTTAAAAGCATTTTTCCTCAATG